TATGTATAAGCTCTTTGACTACTCCATTTCCTGTACTGTATTTCACATCCTCATGGCTATTCTGTAACTTCCTAGTTATACTTCTTATCCCCTCACCTCTTTACCCTTTCCTTCACACACCCCTCCCATCTTGGTGATGATGAACTCCTTTAGTTTTTTCTTGTCTGGGAAGCTCTTTATCTGCCTTTCAATTCTAAATGACAGCTTTGTTGGGTACAAAAATCTTGACTGTAGGTTTTTGCTTTGCATGACTTTGAATATTTCTTGTCAATACCTTCTAACCTGCAAAGTTTCTTTTGAGAAATCAGCTGACAGTCTGATTGGTATAGGTAGAAGTTATAGATAGCTAACTTGTTTTCTCTTGTGGCTTTTAGGATCCTCTCTTCATTTTTCATCTTTGGCCTTTTATTATGATGTATCTTGGCCTCTTTGCATCCATCTTATGAGGGAGTCTCTGTGCTTCCTGGACATTTTTCTCCACCAAATGAAGAAATTTTTCTTTCATTATCTTTTCAAATAGATTTCCAATTCTTTGCTCTTTCTCTTCTCCTTTGGGCACCACTATGATGCAAATGTTAGAACATTTGAAGTTATCCCAGAAGTTCCTTACACTATCCTCATTTTCTGGGTTCTTTTTTGTTGTTGTTTTGATTGGTTGTTTTTACTTCCTTATGTTTCATATCATTGATTTGATTCTTGGCTTCATCCACTCAACTGTTGTTTCCCTGTAAATTGTTCTTTATTTAAATGAGTGTATCCTTCATTTCTGACTGGGTCTTTTTTTATGCTGTTGAGATCCATACTAAGTTCCTTAAGCAGCCTTATAACCAATGTTTTGACTTGAGCATCTGATAGATTGTTTATGTCCATTTTTTTAGCTATTTTTATGGAGTGTTGTTCTCTCCTTTCATTTGGGCCATGTTTCTTTGTCTCCTCATTCTGGCAGCCTCCCTGTATTTGTTCGTATGTATTAGGTAGAGCTGCTTTCACTCCGTGTCTTGTGTGGACTAATGCAGTAGGTATCCTGTAGGATCCAGTGGCATAACCTCCCCTATCACCCAAGCTGGGTACTCTAGGTTTGCCCTTTGCTAAGTATACCCTCGTCTTGTAACTGAGCTTTGGTTGCTGTAGGCAGATCAATGGGAGGGATTTACCCAGGCTAGTCAGCTACAAGGATTGTCTGTGACCAGTAACCACCAACCTCTACCCTCTGTGGAGGGTCAACTGTGCAGAGGCAGGGTGGTGGGGCTTTGATGTGGTCTGTATTTGTCTACTAGGTGCACTGGCCCTAGGGTTTCCTGGCTGGTGCAGGCCAAGGTCAACGTTCACCTGTGTTTTGCCCTGGTCCACCCTGCCTGAACTATAAAGCAATCTGAAATGGCTACTACTTGTGTGTGTGGGCTTGGAGATTCCCAGGAGAAGCCAAGCTGTGAGTTTAGGTTGGCTGGTGCTAGTGCCAGACCTGGGTCTCACTGAGTTCAGCTGTTACTTGTTTGATAGGATTTAGGAAGTTGTTAAGCATGAACCAAGACCAACCCTTGATATGGAGAAGCATCTTGGGTGGACCCATAAATTAGGTGGGGCAGAGTCTGGGAATCTCCAAGGCAGGTCGAACAATGTTAGCCAAGTTGATGAAGTCTCAGATATGGCATCAGCTTGCCAGTTCTGTGGGGGAAGCGTCTAGAAAAGGGATAACAGCCTCTGGTCCCCTGATGTCAGATACTTCAGTTCTTCCCTGTATACCAGTGGTACTTTTCAAACTACCCTAAGTGCTGGTGCTCAGAGAGAGTGAGTCTGAGTAGGTGAGTCCATGTGTGGGTTCTTTAAGAGGAACTGCTTAGGGTTCCACAGGTTTCTTCCACCAACTCAACCCCCACTGATTTTTGCAGCCAGAAGTTGTAGGAACTTATCTTCCTGGCACTGGAACCCTGAGCTGGGGGGCCTGGTTGAGGCTGGGACTCCTTGCCCCTGAGATATCCATCTTGAATTTTTATCCACCAGTGTGGATAAAGCCCATTTCACATCTGTGCCCCTCCTACCAGTCTGAATGGATGTGGTTTCTTTAACTCTATAGATTTCAGACTTTCATTCAATTTAATTTCTGATGGTTCTGAGTGTTGGTTGTTTTATATTTTAGTTGCCATTTTGATGTGGTTGTGTGAAGAGCTGAGTTATGTCTGCCTATACTGCCATGTTGACCAGAAGTCTTCTATGAGTTCTCTCTCTCTCTTTTGTCTTTTTTGGTCAATCCCTTCACTACCCTGACTTGCAACCCCTCCCAGAGCTGTGAGCCTGCTCTGTTTCTATGAGTCTGTCTCTATTTGGCTTGTTAGTTCAGTTTGTTCATTAGATTCCACATAGGAGTGAAATAATATTGTATTTGTCTTTCTTTGATTGGCTTATTTCACTTAGCATAATAATCTACAGGTCCATACATGTTGTTAAGGGTAAACTTTTCTTCTATTTTATGGCTGAGTACTATTCCATAGTGAAATATACTATAGCTGTTTTGTCCACTCATCTACTGATGGACACTTGGGCTGTTTCCAAATTTTGGCTATTGTCAATAATACTGCAATGAGCATAGTGATGTGGATACTGGCCTGCAGTGTCCATGGCATTGTGGATGAGATGAGACAAATTCACATGAACTACAGAAATCCTGTGGAGAAAAGGGGATGACATGGCCACTCTCTCAGTGAAAGAGAGGGCCGGCCCTGATTCTTGCCTGTATAAGTTTTTATTGTTTTTCTGGGCACCTTACATTGAGGGTGGTCCTCATTTATTATGCACAAGTTTGCTTTAGATGGTTACCTTTTACAGAAAACAAAGGAGAGGATGTTGCTAATTACATAGAAAAAGAAGGATATTTGCAAATGTAAAGGGAGAAGTGGCTGAACTGGTTACACTTGTCCTTGGAAGGTTTAGCATAGATTTTAGGAAGTTACTTTAAAGATATACAGTAAATATTTTCTGCCTCAATTCAGGGTGAGGGATTTTTAGCAAAAAGCAAGTCTCAGAGTAGGCAAGGTACAATGCAGGCCTGATTGCCTATAGGAGAACCTGTCCGAGGGCATGGGTCCTATGTGCCAGACCTTGCTTTCCACTGGCCTTTCCAAGTGGGAGCTGGGCTACATTTCCCATGCCCCACAGAATGGTCTTCCATAACATATAGGTGCTTATGTTCTTTTTAATTGGTGTTTCAGATTTATTCAAATAAATTCCCAGAAGTGGAATCACTGGGTCATAATGCAGTTCTATTTTCAATTTCTTGAGGTACTTCCATCCTGCTTTCCACAGTGGCTGCACCAATCTGCATACCCACCAACTGTGCACAAGGGTTCTCTTTTCTTCACATCCTTGCCAACACTTGATATTTGTTGATTTATTGAAGATAGCCATTCTGACAGGCATGAGGGGATATCTCATTGTGTTTTTAATTTGCATTTCTCTGATGATTAGTGATGTTGAGCATGTTTCATGTGCATTGGCCATCTCTATGTCCTCTTTGGAGAAGTATCTACTCAGGTCCTTTGCCTATTTCTTAATTGGACTGTTTGTGGTTTTGGTGTAGATTTTTTTTTCTTTTTAATCAGTGTTGGTTACTGATAGATTGCCAGAAAAGTACCTCTTTTGGAAGGATTTAAATTAGCATACACTTGTTCATAAATATTCTCTTACGAAGTTATTCTCTGCAAACTTTGCTATTCTGCCTTTTTGTATTTGACTTTTTCCTTACCTAAAGAACAATAATTTATATTCATTTATAATGCCAGTGCATTCTGTTTTCTAGTTTATCAGTTTTACTTCATTGTCTCTTCCTTTCTGCAGTACTTAAGGCTATTATTTTTCCCCTTTTCTAACTTCTTCAAATAATTACCCAGATGTGAGGTTATTTTATTTGATTTTGCCTATCCCTTCTTTTAAATTAAATTAAGATTTCTTTTATTTTAGCCTCTCTGTTTTTAAATTTTGAAAGCATACAGAAGGATGATTTAAACTCTAAACGCTGCTCTGGCAATATTTTGTAAAATTTTAATTCTTCTTGTTTTGATGTTTTATATTTTTTTCTCATTTAAGGAAGACCTTAACTCTTTAGCTAGGTGAGTTTAGATTTCCAAGTAGTTAGCTTTTGTGTATTTATTTAAACTTATTAATTTTCAGAGATTTCTTTTTTAATTTTCAGGTCAAAGACCATGACCTGTATTGTTTGGATTTGAAAATGTATTGACCCTTTCTTGCAAAATAATGTAAAAAGTATTTTTAAAATGTCTATATCATACTTATAAAAATATCATTTAAATCATAAGAATCGTAAGAAAATATCACTTAAATAAATTGTGTTACTTCAGTCTTCTATGACCTTATTTATTTTTTATCCCTTTGGTCTGCCTTAGATTTGTAGTGGTACATTAAATTTCCCCACCACCCTTATTTTAATCTATCTCTATTCATATACCTAATTTTGCTGTATTTGGACTTCATGCTTCTAGAATATATCTTACTGTATCTTCTATTGAAATAATTATTTTTTACTAATTTCATTATGCTCTTTCTGATACCTGAGATTAGTGATGTGTATAAATAATACTCTAGCTTTTCTTTTGTTTATATTTGTATCATATATGTTTACACATCCATTATGTTAATCTTCCTTTATCTTCTACATTACAAGATACTATTCTTGAATATTTAGTATATTACTTCTGTTTTTACATAATCTGAGGTCTATACTTTAAAAAAATTTATGCACTCAATTATGTGATTATTATTTCTGTATTAGGTATTCTTGTCACCTTATTTCATGTTTCTATGGGTTTGTATATATGCATTTATTATTGTTGATACTAATACCTAATTGTTTCTTATGATCTCTTTAGCAATTGGATCATGTTCTTTTTTTCTATGTAAAATTGACATCCTATATTTATTTTTACTAATTGTTTACTTTAAAGGTTCTTTAAAATGTTTTAAACTTATGTATTTGTATTAACAACTAGGATACTGCTGAATGTACAGATCATGCATACATGGATCTTCAGCTAAGAATTTCTTCCTTCTCACAGAAGTGCAATCTTCATTCAGGTATGAGATAATATGTGTTTGTGTTCTAATACCATACATGTTGATCCCAGACAATTGGCTAGGTCTTTTCATATACATTGTGCTTTGGGTACCATGATATGCCACAAAGTTTATATGATCAACAGACCTCTGCACAACTGTGCTGTAGCGGATGCAGTTGAGATTGCTCTGAAAGTGCCAGAAGGGAATATGGTGACAGAAGAAAAGACGTGTTCTATGGGCAAAGCTGGGCTCCTGATGCAATGTCATCTGGTCTTCCTTGTGTATAAGATGTCCCTGAGTCAAGTGCTGTAGACTGGGGAAACAGTATCTTATGTTTAATCACTCAAAATGAATTCCTTTCAATTAAAGACTATTTTCTCCTGCATGTTATGATGCAGGAAAAGGGAGATAGTGAGAGTTTAAGGTGAAGCCAGTATTTGTTAGACCAAGTGTTAGCTTTTCTCATACTTGGAATATATTTGCTTAAAACCCATGATGACAAATATTGCTTAAGCTGCCTGGTCATTAAAATCATAGGACTTAAAATTTTCCCACTAGACAGTCATTCCTTTTACTTATGGCATTGCTTTTTACACTTTCTATAAAAAATGCAAAAACTTCGAAAAAATAAAGCATGTAGATTGAGTCACAAACTAACACCTACCAAATGAAAGTTTCCCTAAATACAGTTGACTCTGAAAAGAGGAAAAGAGAATGGGCAGTAAGGGGAAGGTGAGAAAGACAACCTCTACCCACTTGCTACTGGGCTTTGGGCTTCCGAATGAAAATGCATGCTGGACCATGGGGAGGAGAGGTACTGAGCTAGACTGCTCCTTCAGTCACATGCTGACATAAAGCCTGTTTCTTTCAGGGGAGGATTCTGAAGTACGCTGCCTGGGCTGCCCCAGTAAGATCCCTGTTGACAGCCCACAACTGCAGGGGCCTCTGAAACATTCCATCACAAAGCTTAATGCAGAGAATAATGGAAATTTCTATTTCAAGATTGACACTGTGAAGAAAGCAACAGCACAGGTGTGTAAATTTTCTTGCAAAAACAGTGATATCATAGTTTGTGTGCAAATTGCTTATTGACTTATCATCTGGGTTGGGAAACAGTATACCTGGTGAAAGGAATTTGAGTTTGGAGTCCCAGCCTCGCTGCATGCTTGATGTGTGATCTTGGACAAGTCTTGTGAATGAACATTCTTTTCATTTTCTGTCTGTAAAGGACAGGGGTGAGGATCAAGTAAGATAATCTATGTCATTATATTATCTTTCCAAACTCTAAAGTGTTATATAAACTCTAACAACTATTATATAACTAATAAAACATAGGGCTATAGAAAGCAGGACTTATTCTGTGCCTTTCCACTCTCCTTTCTTACTGTAGCATCATCTAGGGCCTCAGGTTCAGCCACATGAGTCAGTCCATCATTACCCAGTCTCTTGACACTCATACCTCTGTGTCATTTCCCCGCTGGCTAGGTGTCCTTGTGGCCCACAAATGTACCTTCTAAGGAGTTGTCTTTCCTTCCATACCCTGTTAATGGAGGGTAAGAAGAGTCCTGGTCTGGGGTTCCAGAGACCCAGTTCTACCACAGTACCTACCCCTCAGGTCCTAGGTAACCCTGGGCAGCCCTTCAGACTCACTCAGTCTCTGTGGCCCCACATGTAAATTGAGTGGCTGGATGAGCAAAGTCCAAACTGTTTCCAACTCCAACACCATATGGCTCATCTATTTATGGACAGATTCCTATTACAAACCTCAAAACTGGCCACCCTAATGATAAGCTAAAGAAAAGTAATCAAAATAGAATCAAACTGTTAGAGCAAATCAACATGCTTTATGAGATGAAGGAAAAAAGCCTTCTCTTAAAATAGTTCATACTTTTGGCTCAGTAATCAAATTCCTAGAAATCTAAAATAGAGTCTTTAGAGACAACAACATTTATTGGAGCAATAAGTATATAAGAAAAATTATAAATTATCAATGGATTCAATTGATTAATAACATAGAAAGAATGTCAAGCAGCAGTTATAAAGCATTTTTGTGAGGAGTTCTTGATGTGGTAAATTTCTTGTGTTAAAATATGCAGTGAAAAAAGAAGAGGCCATCAGCTGAATGTACATTCTGTTGTCAGTTGTGTTATAAGAAACTACAGGAAACATTGCTGAACATACACAAATGCCTCCAGCTGTTGACAATGACGGCTTTAAGTAATGGCACAATGGGCTGTTTAATTTCATCTTCTAATGTCCTATGTTACTTTTATTACTGGGAAAAATCCCTAAGTAAATGTTATTAAAATAATTCAAGACTGACACTTTGATCTGTCTCCTACCCAGGCACCTATTTCTGTCCTGGACACCACAATCTTTTTCCCTCATTTCACAGGCACATGGCCCACATTGGGCTTACTCACAGGACACACCAATGATGCTACTCTTGAGTTTGTTGGCTTTTCTTGTCACTTCCTCTTTCTGCTCTCTTGTGAAATTCTGTTATTCTTCATGATGCAGGAATAGTCTAGTACTCCATTATACATTGTATGTCAGAGGTTTGCTGTCAGGAGAGAACCACTCACTGTCAAACATGCCTGTCTAGTCCTCTTAGTACTTAGAGTTCTCTCTAAATTAGCTAATCAACATTCTAGCATCTCTCTCTATGTGTGTGTATATGTGTGTGTATGTGTTTCATGCTGAGGTTGCCAGAGGATCAGCAGGTAATGCTGCAAATTGAGGGGAACTGGCTTTCCTTCACTTGCCAAATATGGAATACATGAGAATCTCAAACTTCCTTATGAGATGAATCTTGACCGATTTTTGTATTTAAAGAGAGCAATTTGGCTGTTCTACATGGTCATTCAAGAAAGCCCAGGCGGGAGCAGCCAAGCTACTGGAAATCCATTTACCATGTGATGAATTTGCCGAAAGCCAATCTCCAAATGATCAAGTTGCCAAATTGCTAAAGATTTACTTTACAGATTTAGCCTTTCCTTGGCTTTGCATATTTAGTCCTATTTGAATGCATGTCCATTTCAAGTTAGTTTCATATTTCATATACCAAATATTTCTTAAATATTCTGTTTGCATATGTGAATGATTTCAATATCTGTCCTAGGCCATCTATGTTGCCCTGCCTCTACCTCCACTGTTGCACTATTGCCCACATTCCTCCTTGTCTCTGCTCAGATGAATCAGGCTCAGGCTCAGGCTCAGGCTCAGGCTCAGTTCAAGAGCGTGTGTCTGCACATTCAGAATTTCTTTCCTTTACAAAGTACTAGAAATATCAAGACTTATATAAGTGTTGAAAACTTTTGCAAATCACCAAACCATTTGCAATTATCCAATTTAAATTCACACCACCTGGCATAAAACACTGGAATTCTTGATTTGAGTTTTATTCCTACAACAGTGATGGAGGCTGAGTGCTTCCTACACATGGAAAATACCAAGCATCATTGCTTTTTTTCACCTTTGCCAATATATGTAACATTTAAAATACTGTTGCATTTCTTCAGTGTGCATATCTTTGCTTATTAGTGAAGGTAAAGATTACTTCAGGCTTAATGAGCATTTTAACTTATTTTCTGAAATGCCCGTTCATTTCTTTTGTTCATTTTCCAGTGTTTGGTTTTATAGACAAAGACTATGAATCGTATACCATATTTTCCCTGTTGTCTGTTTACTTTGTTTACTATGATTTTTGAAAATCAGTGTTTATTATATGTAGAAATATTTACATTTTTCTTCCTTTAGATTTTCTTCTTGTGCTTATATCCTAAAAAAGGCCTTCCTTATCCTCAGATCTGATGAATTTTTATCTTTAGAGTTTATTTCTTTAATTTAAGTTTTTTAATGAATTTAGAATTTATTTTGCTATATGGTATTCTCTATTTTAAAAAGAACACTTCAGTAGGAGGACTTAAGCTGGGAAGACTTCTGATGAGAATGACACTTAATATTAATGGCAACAGTTAAAAAATAAAAGACAATAAATACATACCTACCAATAATCACTTTAAATATAAATGGCTTAAATGCTCCAACCAAAAGACATAGAGTAGCTGAATGGATAAGAAAACAAGACCCATATATATACTGTCTCCAAGAGACCCACCTCAGATTGAAAGATACACACAGACTAAAAGTACAAAGATGAAAAAAGATATTTCATGCAAATGGAAAAGAAAAAAGCTGGCATAGCAATACTTATATCCAACAAAGTAGACTTTAAAACAAAGGCTATGGTAAGAGACAAAGAAGGACACTAAATAAGGAAAAAGGGAACAACCTAACAAGAGGTTATAACCCTAGTGAACCTTTGTGCAACCAACATAGGAGCACCAAAATATGTAAGGCAAGTCTTGGTGGACATAAAGGGAGAGATTGACAGAAACAGTGTCATAGTAGGATATTTTAATATCCCATTGACTTCAGAGGATAGACCTTCCAGACAGAATATCAACAAGGACAAACTGACAGTAACCAGAGGGGAGATGGAAGGGGATAATGGGGGGGGGAGGGGAAGGCTTTTCAGGAACAACTATAAAAGACAAAGGGACAAAGCCAAAGGTGGGTAGAGTGAGGAGAGGGAGGTAAGGTTGGCTGGGGTGAAGGGTGTGATAGGGTGAAAAGGCAGACAACTGTACTTGAACAACAATAAAAATAAACAAACAAACAAACAAATAAATAAAACTTAAAAGTAAAGTAAATCAACAAGGAGACAGCAGCCTTCAATGACAACACACTGGATCAAATGGCTTAGTTGATATTTATAGAATATTTCACCCCAAAACAGCAGAATATACATGTTTTTAAGTGCACATGAAGTGTTTTCTAGGATAGATCACATGCTAAGACGCAAAAAAAGTCTCAATACATTTAAAAAGACTGAAGTCATATCAAGCATCTTCTCTGACCACAATGCTATGAAACTAAAAATCAATCACAAGAAGAAAATTGAAAAAATACACAAAAACATGGAAGCTAAATGACATATTATTAAACAATGAATGGATCAACAACAAGATCAAGGAAGAAATCACAAGATACCTTAAAACAAATGAAAATGAGAGCACAACAACCCAAAATCTGTGGGACACAGGGAAAGAGATCTTAAGAGGGAAATTCATAGCTTTACAGGCTTATCTCAAGAAACAAGAAAAAGTTCAAATAAACAGTCTAACTTCACACTCAAGGGCCATGAAAAAGAAAAATGAATAAAGTCCAAAGTGAGTAGAAAGAAGGAAATAATAAGGATCAGAGCAGAAATAAGTGAAATACTCTAAAAAATGGTACAAAAGGTCAATGAGACCAACAGCTGGTTCTTTGAAAAGATAAACAAGATTGACAAACTTTTAACCAGACTCATCAAGAAAAAAAGGATCCAAATAAATAAAACCAGAAATCAGAGGAGAAATAGCAACTGACATCAAGAAATACAAAGGATTGTGAGAAAATGTTATGAATAAGTATATGCCAAAAAATAGGAAAATCTGGACTAAATGGATAAATTCCTAGAAACACACAATTTTCTAAAACTAAATCAGGGAGAATCAAAGAATTTAAATAGACAGATTACTTCTAGTGAAATTTAGCAGTAATAAAAAAAAAAAAAAACCCTTCCATAAAACAAAAGCCCCAGATGGCTTCACAGGTGAATTTTACCAAATATTCCAAGTAACACCAACACCACTCCTTCTCAAACTATTCCAAAATATTCAAGAGGAGTGAAGATTCCCCTGCTTCTTTTATGAGTCCAGCATTATCCTAGCTCCAAAACCAGATAAAGACACTGCAATAAAAGAGAGAAGTTGTAGGCCAACATCCCTGATCAACACAGATGCTAAAATCCTCAACAAATATTAGCAAACCAAAATAGCAATACATTAGAAAGATCATAGACCATAATCAAGTGTAATTTATTCCAGAAATGCAATGTTGGTACAACATTCACAAATCCATAAATGTGATACACCACATAAACAAAACGAAGGATTAAACCACATGATCATACCAACTGATGCAGAAAAAGCATTTGATAAAATCCAGCACCCATTCTGATAAAAACACTTAGCAAAATGGGAATAGAGGGAACATACCCTAATGTAATAGAGGCCATATATGACAAACCCACTGTCACCATCATACTCCATTAGCAAAATCTACAAGCATTCCCCTTAAGATCAGAAACAAGATAGGGATGTCCACTTTTACCTCTTTTATTCAACATAATACTGAAAGTGCTAGCCATAGCAACCAGACAAGAAGAAATAAAAGGCGTCCAAATTGGAAAGAAAGAAGTAAAACTGTCTTTATATGCAGGTGACATGCTATGGCACATAGAGACCCCTAAAGATGCCACCAAGAAACTACTAGAACTGATAAATGAATTCAGCAAAGTAGCAGGATACAAAATTCATAGTCAGAAATCAGTTCCATTTTTATATGCCAATGATGAACTATCAGAAAGGCAAATTAAGAAAACAATACCACTCATGACTGCTTCAACAAGAATAAAATACCCAGGAATAAACCCAGTCAAGGATGTAAAAGACATACAATTGGAAAATTATAAGGCACTGAAGAGAGAAATTGAAAAAGATACAAATAAGTGGAAGTACATACTTTGTCCATGCCTAGGAAGAATTAATATCAGTAAACATCACTAAAATGTCCATGCTGCCAAAAGCAATCCATAAAATCAACACAATACGTACCAAGATACAGAAGACATATTTCACAGACCTAGAACAAATACTTCAAAATTTATATGGAACCACAAAAGGCCTTGCATAGCAACAATGATCCTGAGAAAGAACCAAGGTGGAGGAATCATACTACCTAATATCAAACTATACTATAAGGCCATAGTAATGAAAACAGCATGGTACTGGCATAGAAATAGACACAGAGAGCAATGGAACAGAGTAGAGAGTCCAGAAAGAAACCTGTATCTTTACAGTCAATTAATATTTGACATAGGAAGCAAGCACACACAATGGGCTAAAGACAGTTTATTCAATAAATGGTGTTAAGAAAATTGGACAGATACATGCAGGAAAATGATACCAGACCACCGTATTATGCCACTCACAGGAATAAATTCAAAATGGATTAAAGACTTAAATATTAGGCCAGAAACCATAAAAATCCTGTAAGAAATCACAGGCAGTAAAATCTCAGACATTGCTTATAGCAATATTTTATTTGATAGATCTCCTTAGGTAAGGGAAACAAAAGAAAAATAAACAAATGGGGCTACATCAAACTAAAAATATATTGCACAGCAAAGGAAACCAACTAAATAAAAACACAACCTACAAAATGAGAGAATGTATTTGCTGATACATCTGATAAGGTGTTAATATCTAAAATTTATAAAGAACATACAAAACTGAACACCATAAAAGCAAACAATCCAATTAAACAATGGGTAAAGGACCTAAACAGACACTTCTCCAAAGAGGACCTGCAGATGGTCAATTGACATATGAAAAGATGTTCAATATCCCTAATCATCAGGGAAATGCAAATTGAAAGTGCAATGAAATACCACCTCACACTGATCAGTGTGAGGCTATCTTCAATAAGTCAACAAATATCAAGAGTTGGCAAGGATGTGGAAAAATGGGAACCCTTTTGCACTGTTAATGGGAATATAAATTGGCACAGCCCCTGTGGAAAGCAGTATGGAGATATGTCAAAAAAAATGGATCTGCCTTTAGACCCAGTGATCCCACTTCTGGGTATTTTTCCAAAGAAACCTGAAACACTAACTCAAAAGAACATAAGCACCCACATGTTCATTGCAGTGTTATTTGCAATCACCAAGATATGGAAGCAGCCCAAATGTCCATCAGTAGATGAGTGGATAAAACAACTATGGAACATTTACACAATGGAATACCACTTGGCTGTGAAAAAAAATTTTGCCCTCTGCAACAGCATGGATGGACCTGGAGAACCTCATGCTTAGTGGAATAAGCCAGTCAGAGAAAGACAAATGCCATATTATTTCCCTCATATGTGGAATCTAATGAACAACCTGAACTAACAAGAAAAATAGAAAGAGACTCATAGAGAGCAGGCTGACAGCTATGGGGGTTTGAGGGTAGAAGGATTGAGCAAAAAGGAAACAGGACTCATGGACAAAAGTGTGGTGATTGCAGGGGACAGGGGGTTGTAAGAGGGATAAATAGTAAATTAAAAATACAATAAAAACGCCAGGGCACATGCCTGGGTTGCAGGCCAGTTCCCAGCAGGGACCAGTTCCCAGCAGGGGATGCACCATACATTAATATTTCTCTCCTTCTCTCCTTCCCTTCCCTTCTAAAGATACATAAAATAAAATAAAAAAAAAAACAATAAAAAAAGAATGACACCTGACAGTAATGGCAGTATTGCTGTGATCTTGAGGCCCTAGAACAGAAGATTTATGTCCATTTAATTTCTTCTCCTGGATGATGAATAGAGTTGAACCATCAGTTGTGGCTTGTATCATATATTGTCAAATTTCTTAAACAAAATTACCTTGATTAACATTATTCTTTAAAAAATTGGATTAAGATATATTCTGAAAGGAGCAAGAAAACTTATGATCACAAAAACTTAAACTGTAAAACTCTCCTAGACCTTCCTCCTCATTTATACACACAAACTGGAGTTTTAAAAGTTAATTATAAAATTTTTATTAAAAATTTAACCAGGCTTACCTAGGAAAACAATTCCAGAAAAGGTAGAGGAGGGTTTAGTTCTTCCTGTGACTCTGTTCTCTTGCTCCTCTGTTGTTCTCACCACATTTTCTCCATGATTAAAAAAAAAAAAGGGAGATGGGAAGACTGCTGTAGTTTACAAATGAGATTATACCTCCCGCTGTGATTGTTTTTGAATAGTGGTCATCTCTGCAGGTCAAGATATATGATGAATTCTGTAGATAAGGATATAATACTACAAACACATACACACACATTTCATTCTAGAATTAAGTACTGAATAGCTTGGTCTAAAAAGTGGACCATATCAACTAACTTTTTAGTGCATAATTTAAAGTCATTTTTACTGAGTATGTTTGTCCATTGTAAGAGATATAAGATGTGGCATTTTAAAATGACTTTTTAAAAACTATATTTGTGATATTGTTGACCTCAAAGTACTTTTAAAAACATGAGTTTAAAAGAATTGAATGAAATGAAATGAAATAATTTAAAAAGCATGAGCTTAATTTTTTGAATAAATAAAATGTGACTATTCTAAAAAAACATAAATAGGGTGACAAAATGTCAATTGTAGAAACAGCACTGTATAATAATTAAAACTATTGCTACAGATTGAAATGGTTTCTTAATATACAGAAAATTACGAGAAGCAAACTGCAAAATCAGGACAACTTTTCTAATCACATAAGTTAACCCGCATAATTTCTATAGTGATACTAACTCAATATTTCTCTGATTCCAGATTTGGCAGGACAGTAAGTCAGACTTAAAGAAAATGTTTAAGTTTTTCATCTTATACTTCATAGATTCAATTACAACTAGTGCTCCTGAATGTCTAATGAAATTTTTAGCTATTGAACAATAAAACTCAGAAAGATATAAAAACAAAAACTACAGCCTGCTTTTTCTTTTCCCATGCAGAAAAAAGAATAAGACCAATCAACAGCCAAATATTTCACACATGCATACGAAGTGAAAGTTTAGTTGTCAGTCATTTGTGCTCTTTATGTATAACTCTCAAATGGTCAGTGTGTAATTTAAATTTTAATATACTCCCCTAAGATTCCTGAGAGTAAAAACACATGTTTTATTATACAATATCAATTAAGCAGCTATTTTCTGCTAATTTATTTTCCAGGTGGTGGCTGGAATGAAATATTCTATTGAGTTCACCGCCAAGGAAACCACATGTTCCAAGGAGAGTAATAAAGAGCTGACTGAAGATTGTGAGATCAATTTACTTGGAGTGGGTAGTAATGCAACTCTCTACCTATTCCCTGCATATCTACATGATGTTTTAAATGTGTTTAAGTGATTCATGAATAGCACTGTTCTCTCTTTTGACTTTTTTTCCATGGATAGGAAATTCTAAGCTGCACTGCTAAGGTTTATGAGGTACTATGGTTGAACAAAACTGAATCTACTATCAAGTGCCGACCACTACAAAAGGTATGGTTCTAATTATAGTCAGCTTGGTTAAATTTTGATATTCAGAAAAGCTCTCTATGAGGTTAAAAATGAACCATTATTTAAATATTGGAGGACAATGTTAAAATGGGGAGAAATCTGGCATTTCTGTGCTGAGCTCTCTCTTTTATGGCCAGAAAGCAAAACAGCAGTCCTTTTCATCACTCCCCACACACTGTGAGGGCCCCATGCTTCAGCAGCTTCTCTCTTAGTGAAGTGCAGCCCCAGCTGAGGAGAGCTGACACTAGCTATGCAGCTTCAAGGTGTGCCAGAGATGTTCCTGTGGCATCTGCCTGCATCCAAGGAACTTGAGAGAAGTGCACATCTCAGACCCTGCTCCACATCTACTGAGTCCAAATCTGCATTTAACATGATCCCCAAAGGATGCATACCCACATTCAAGTGTGAGAAGCATTAATTTGTATCATCTTTTGTAGTTCTTAAGAGAAACTTGGGAGGTAAGCAATTCTTTTCCCATTGTCAAGAATGAGACATGAGACATTAGCAAGCTACTGAGATCCTAGAGTGAAAAATACCATTGTCAAGTGCATCCTCTGTGCCAGGCACTGCCCTGAGGACATCACACATACTTTTCTCCTCACAACTCTATGAGGCAGGGGTTGTTGGTCTTCCTTTCTTAGGGATGAGGAGAAAAGAGAAGCTAGTGGCCCTGAGATGCAAGTCTAGGTCAAATCAGAGCCTCCACATGCACATGATGCTGATAACTAGGGTCTGGCTCGTTTGACTCTAAGAAACATGCTCTCTGCAGCACTGAATGCTGCCTCCAGCCATCGAGTTCCTGCTAGCAGCGAAAGTGCAGGAAGAAGTAATCTGTATCTTCCATGCAAGTTGCCTCTTCTCCCTTTTTTCTGATTTAGGTTTCCTCCAAGCATAGATATAGGTACAGTATAGCACAAACATGATACAAAGGCTGTGTTTGAAGTTTGTAAACATGTCCTAATGTGTTTCAGACAACAAGGCGATGGTAAATATGTGCTTTATGTATATTCCATTTTTAAAGCCATTTCGAGTATTTTAAAATAAAAGCAGTAATGGTGCTAACAGAAATAGTATCAATTAACAAATAATGTGTCGTGGGTTTACCTAAACATAGGCCTAGAAGGAATCCTAGAGATTATGTAGTTCAAATATTCCAAAGGAATATTCCAAATTATTGGAATTATTGGAATATAAGCAACCAATTATTCCAAAGGAAGGACAAACTCTCCATCTTAATGAACTATTATTAAAAACAATAATCAATATCTAAAAATTATCAAGTCAATGAAAAGAAAAATATAATCTCATCCTTTCTGCAATATTATAGCATTTGAAGACTTAGTGCATTGGAAACCAACAGAGCATGTCCAGGTCTGAGTCCTTTCTTACTTCATTGACAGTATGGCTTCACAATAATGCATTCATCCTGATGTTTTCTGTTTAGACCTTCGTGGTGGGAAGACCTCCAGGTTTTTCACCTTTTCGATCAGTACTACAAGCGGACCAAACAAAGGAAGTAACAACTGTAAGTCCACCCCACACTTTCATGGCATTTAAACAAGATGAAGAGCAGGATTCAGAAAAAGAACAAGGACACATGTGGGAACATGGCTGGGGACATGAAAAGAAAATAAACCATGGCCTTGGCCTTAAACATGAGCATGACCAAGGCCATGGTCACCAAAGGAGACATGGTCTTGGTTATGGACATCAACCACAACATGGCAATGGTCATGGACACCAATGGGAACATGAATATAATCTTGAGCACCAAGGGAGGCATGGTCTTGGCCATGGCCATCAGCAGGAACATGGCCTAGGCCATGGACATAAACATGATCATGGTCATAGCCATGCAAAACATAAAAATAAAGGAAAAAAGAATGGGAAGCACAATTATTGGAGAGCAATGCATCGGGCAAGTTCTCCTGAAGATATTACTACATCTGCACAGAGCACAGACACATGAAAAGACAGGAAGGTCAGTGCTCTTCCCTTCCCCAGCCCAGCCAGGTGTAGCAGTTACCTCTTCTGACTTTCAGGACTTAGATCTCATTGCAGCCACAATGACTAATAATATACCACCAACTTTCACACTGAGTGATGATGCTTGGATCCCTGAAATCCACATACAGCCAAATAGCCTTTCATTTAACCTGTTACCTGATTTCCCAGAAACAAGCTCCCCAAAATGTCCTGAATGCCCCTGGAAGCCACTTAGTGGAATGAATCCAACTGTAGAAATGACATACTTTCATGATTTCGATCTCTCTGACGCTCTTTATTAATGTATGCAGCCATGGGGGTTTCTTTAACACTTCACCATCCCCTTTCCCCATTGTCAAAATACCCCATTGTGATGCATGAAAAACCGTGAAGCTTCAGAACAGCCTAGAGAGAAGTGGTGAGACACCCAATGGGGACACATCAGTTCCTATGCACAACATGAAACTGTGTGCAGCATTCTAAACCCTTTCTGAGTCTTCCCCACAGGTTTTCTTAACTAGCACAGAAAATGGGCAACCAAATGTGCCTTGTGGCTTACTGCAATTTACTTTTCTAATAACAAATGTGTACATTAGAATGATATTAGTCTTCATACAAAGATTCTTACCATTTTGAATAAACTGTGGCATCTGGTCCCTGAACACCTGTGAAGTAAAGTCAAGAGACAGAATGCTGAACTTCTGAATAGGGGAAAAATAATCATAAAGAGGACCAGAAGTCAAGGAGGAACAAAGAAGAAAGGCTGATATAAACTAATTGACTTCCTGTTTCCATAATGGCCTAGTTATATTAAATAGTTACTCCCACTTGATGAAGTTACTCTGATAATTCTCTTTCTGACTGAGAGTGTTTCTCATAAGCCAATAATTTCTGTTATCTGGTTAACTACTCTTTGCAACATGGCTTTCAACTAGAAATTTTCTGCGTGTTTATGTGTTGCTGAGTCTGGTATGAGTACTCCTTAGTTTTTAGCAGCTATGCATTGAATGAAAAGAATGGAAAGCAGAGGAGGTAAGATAGAGGCAGGCTTGTGAAGGGAATCATTCCTAGTAATTGCCAGGGGAACACCATGAGATGTGTGATGCAACATTTCTTCAGAAATTTCAGCAGGTGTTGCCTTTCCACCCACACTCTACCATCGAATCATCTTTTTTTTTCTGCAACACTGGGAAGCACCGATTTTCGCAAAAAAAAAGTACAATATGATTGTGTTTAATCTCTTCAATGTGAGGGAGGCACATATTTTAAAATACTTGCTGTGTTTTGCCTGGGGAAACAAGATCGGGCTTTAATCAACTACAGTTGCCTGTGGATGCATGTGTCCCTGCCACTTCAATTCATGGAATGATTTGAGCCTCTGAGTTTTTATTTCACTTTAAATATTATCTGTACTTTTCGATAAAGAACCAGTGATGCCAGGAAAAAGTCTCATTTTGTCAAGTGGTGCTTTTCTTTTAGTGAATGATAACATCAGATTAACAGAATTTTAATATACTTACAGAACCAACTCAGTCATTGCGAGTACAAGGGCCGACCTCATGAGGCAGAGCCAACATCTCCGAGTGAGGTCTCCTGACCAGTGGGCAGAATGTCCATGCCTGGCACAATAGCCCCAACAACCAACCTGTCAGCAGCCTTGCATGGAAAGATAAGAAAGTGGGAGAGAATGCAGTTGAGAAGAATGCCACTTTATCATTCTGTTTCTGGATGAAATAAAGTTTGATCTTGATGTTCTGACTCCTGGTTAATTCAGAGTAGTCTGTTTTTAGCCACACCCATCCTGGAGCAAAGTCCACCAGCAATCTAAGGAATCTCTCACTTGCCTTCCTCCTTCTCCTGATTTATGAATCAAAGTTAAAAGTAATTTGTGTTGAATATTATGCTAAGTGAAATAAGCCATTCAGAGAAAGACAAATAACACATGATTTTACTCATGTGGAATCTAATGAATGAACTGAATTAACAAGCAAAATTGACACAAGAGTTACAGACAGCAGGGTGACAGTTAAGGGTAAGGGAGAGGGCAGGGGTGGAGGGATTGAGCAAAAAAGAAAAAGGACTCATGCATATGGTGAACAGTGTGGTGACTGTGATGGAGAGGGGAGTATAATGGGACGAAATGGCGAAATGGTCACGAAAAATAAAATTAAAATATATAATAAAAATAGTAATTTTCTTTTATTATTTTGTATGATCTAGATAGTTACCAAATAGAAAAAAATCTGTGTTAATATTATGTCCACTAACTTTTCATCAGTAAAAATACCTAACCTCAAGAAAATTTAAAGAAAATTTAAAGAAAATTTAAAATGATCTCTCTGGTCCAAATAAAAGACAAAATAGAAATCCAAAACAATCAAAAGTGATTGAGGTTTTCAATTTCTGTAATAAAACTCACTTACTGAATGCCCACTATAGCCCTTTTAGACAGGGCTAGACAATTTCTGTCTGTGTGACTTGGTCCTGACAACCACTCTAGGTCCTGTGATCACCCTTCTACAATAAACAAACTCTAGGTCCCAGTGCCCTACTCAGGGTCATGCAGTTAATATGCTAGAGAGCTGGCACTCCAACTCAGACCTTTGAAACTTCATTGCACCACGGTATGATGAGGCATTATTTTCAATGTAGTCATTACCAAAACATGCATTTCTGAATCTGAGGTGATCAGCATCTCAATACAACAACCTTTAATAAACATCTCATTGTGTCTGGTGCTGTTCTGAGCATGTTCAGGGTAAACTATAACTGGGTCAAGCACCAGCATTGGCCATTTACTGTATGCTTAGCACCAGATACTGAAATGAAGAGAAATAAGTATTAAAGGCATAAGTCCTTTCCTTCATGGGACTCACAGTCAGATTGGGAAGTCAGGACTAAAGCATGAGGAACAGATTTCATCCATGCCATGATGATTTGTGGAGCAGTAAGCAGACCTGATGAGTGTGGAAGATGTGGAGGGAAAAACTTGGAAAGATAAAGTCCAATTGAATATGGATTTGTAGTGGGCAGTAGAGAGCCTGTTACAGGTCTTGAGCTAAGATGTACTAACAGAGCCTGTATGAAAGCCATCACTCTGAAGCTTCTGGGGAGCACTGATTAGAGTGAGATGAGACTGGTCTCAAGCCAGTGGTCCAGGTACTTCACCAGAAGAATGACTGCTCAGAGCTGAGTTAGAAAGCCTACAGTTCTCACTTTACTCAACAACATGAAGTATTTCCACTTTAGACCTTTGCTAGATAAAATACTCACAAGTTTCTGGTGACCCAACACCTACCCCTCACTCCTGAAATATCAGCATGCTCTTCTCACTCTCAAACCAAAGGCACACCATATTTCTGACCTTGGCTCTGAAACCACACAGCTTCATCCATTTGTGCTTCTTTTCAGTGCAGAAATTCCTCTTGTCAGCCCAACCCACACTCCTCATGTCGTCTAGGCCCAGCATCTCAAGCAGGCAGCCCTTCCTGGATTTTTACCCCTTCTCCCATTTTCTACTTCTAAGCCTTTTCTGAGTCTGTTCTGTGCTCATGCTTCACCCCATTTCTCCCCAAGCTCTTACTGGTGCTCTGTGGGAGAGGCCAGACCTCCCCAAGTTTTTCCTAGGGGAAGACTTGAGGGATTCCAGTAGATATGATAACAACCCACTCTTCTAGATCTTTCAGTGTCTCTACCTATAATAAGTTAGATGATTAGAAAGCACAATATTATCTAAACAGCTGGCAAAAATGCTCCTGTTAAATTATTTACTTTCAGCCTTTATTCTAGAAGAACCTCCATTTGACCACCACATTTGGGGTTTTGCAACATCTTAACTGGTGACGTTGCCAAGTATTCACATTGGAGGCAGTGCACTAAAGTTGAGAACCTGGGTTCTGCACTTAGACAGTTGAATTCAAAAGCTAGAAATGTATGTAGTTTATTAAAATCCCACTTTCCTGAACTATTAGATTAATAATATGCTCAGATCATAGGTATGTTGTAAGATTTAGAGGAAATAATTCATTTAACTGGCATAATGCTTAGCACATGGCAAACTTTCAATGAAAGGTATCTTCTTCTGCATTACTAGGACATAAATATGTTGCTTTTAACATTTGACTCTGGGAAAACATATTTCTTCAGACAATTAAATGTACTTAACACAGCATACATACATTCCTTTTTGTCTTCATAGCCAGACACAGGTCTCAAAGTTGTAATCAGCTCATATCGAATGACCTGTAATACCTCATTTTCAATTCCATGGCTGCACATTAGAATTACCTGGGAAGCTTCAGACCATGTGAGTCCAAATATTTGTGAATTGTTCTGAGTATCAGTATTTTTCCAAAGTTCTCCATTGATTCTAATACATCTGAAGGTGAGAACAGTTGATTTGTGCCTACTCTGTTTCCTTTTAATCTTAGTTATCCAGTTCTACAGTGTTCCACATTATTCTGTTTCAAATATTTTTTGAAATAGGAGCATTGTGATACTCACAAGAGATATATGGATTGATTGACAGAGTTATGGACAGACAGACAGATAACTAAGTTTTATATGCACTAAGATTGTTGCAATAAGAATGGACAGTATGGACTTCCAGTCAAGATGATGGCCTAGGTAAATATGGATCACCTGTTTGTATGATCACATCAAAATTACAACTAAGATATACAACAACCATCAATGAGAACCATCAAAATTGAGAATTAAAAATATGACAACTGCAGAATTAAAGAGACCACATACATCCAGACTGGTAGCAGGGGCACAGATGCAGATTGGCTCACCCCAGGTTAACATGTGGGGGATAAAAATTCATGAGAAATATCTTGGGAGCTCAGAGTCCCAGCTTCACACCAGGTACATCAGCCCAGGATTCTAGTGCCAGGAAGATAAGTCCCCATAACTTCAGACTACCAAAAACCAGTGGGGATTGAATCAGTTAAAGAAATATCTGCAGTCCCAAGAAGTTCCTCTTAAAGAACCCACACAGACTTCCTCAGACTCACTTCCTCAGCACTCCAGCACTGGGGTAGCAGCTTGAAAGGCTCCAGCAACACACAGGGAAGAACTGAATTGTCTGGTATCAAGGTGGTAGCCTGGGCCCAGCTTTCTTTCAGTCAGAAGGGCAGACAGAGTTCATTGTCCCTTTTCTGAGTCCTTCACACACAGTGCCACAGAGCCAACAGGAGGGTGCCATCTCTCAGACTTCATCAACCTTGCTAACACCGTTTGGTCTGTTTGGAGATCCCCTGAGACTTCATCCCACCCAAATTTTGTGTCCACCCAAGCTGTTAATCCTGACTTGTCCATATGAATGGCAGGTCTTGGCTCACTTCACAACTTTCTAAATACTGTCAAAAAAGCAATAGCAGGCTCCATGAGCACTAGTCCCTGTACCTCTTGCTAAGTGACCCAGGCCTAGCACTAGCAGCAGCCAGCCTAGATTCATAGCTTGGCTTCCCCTGGAAATCTCCATGTCCAGCACAAGTAGCAACCATCACAGACTCCTTTATAGCTCATGCAGTGTGGCCCCATGCAGGACTTGGATCGGAGCTGACCTTGGTCTGAAGCACCCAGGAAACTCCAGGGCCAGCCCACCCAGTAGACAGCTACAGACTACGTGGGAACACCACCATCCTGACCTTGCATAACTGATTTTCCACAGAGGGTGGAGGTTGGTGGTGAGTGGTCATATCCAGTCCTTGCAGCTGACTGGCCTGGGGAAATCCCTCCCATTGACCTGCCAAGAGCAATCAAGTCTCAACTACAAGAGGAGAGTATACTAACCCCACTTGAAGGATACTGCTTGGGTACTGAGCTTGGTTCACAGAGGAGGCCATGCCACTGGACCTGTCAGATACCTACTACATTAGTCCACACTCCCAAAGCAGGAAACCATAGTACTTCTGCCTAATACATAGAAAAGAAAAAATATGAATTGGTAAAGAGACTTATTTAAGAAAAAGAAAATCAAAATGATGGGAGGGAAGGGGGCAGGGTGTGAAGAAATGGGTGAAGAGGTGAGAGGATGAAGAAGTACAAACAGGAAGTTACAGAATAGCCATGAGAATGTAAAGTACAGTACAGGAAATAGAGTAGCCAAAGAACTTATAAGCATGACCCATGGACATGAACCATAGTGTGGGGATTGTCTGAGAAAGTGGGGGTTCTGGGTGGATGGGGGTCAGATTGGGAAAATTGGGGCAACTATAATAAATTGATCAGTAAAATATAATATTACGAAAGGAGGAAAAGAGTGGAGAGTAAAAGAAGGGGGTGAATGGCCTTTGACAAACTTACAAACAAACTGCTTACTGAGTGTGAGGAATGAAGAAAAGGAATAAGCCATGGATCACAAAAAGTTTTCTAGTAGGTGCCTCCGGGAATGGTAATGCCATTAACATAAACAAGGAATCTGGGAGCTGGTCTGAGCTTCCTAGTAATTTGTAAAAATCAGACTGACCCCAAAATCCCAAAATACACACATTTTAAGATATTTCAGCAGCAATGCAAACATATGAAGTTATTATGAAAATAAATGTAAAGGACTACTATGACCCACCTCAAATTATTTCATTTACTGCAGTATCTGTGGCCCCTGCCATGTTAGCAGAAGTATCATTAGATACTCATAAACTAAGCTTGTAGGAAAACTTCAATTAAAGGACTCCTTCTCATGTCAAAAAGAACAAAAAGAAAAGAAATTAGTTTCAAAAAGTGTTCTTAAATTCTATTATTGATGAGAT